ATCGCCGGTCAAGACCTATGCCAAAATGTTCGTAATACTGAGTAGAACAACTTTAATTCTTACCTCGAGGTCCAATTCGAAGCGTAAGTGACTCAAACCGCCTGTTGAAGTTGCTGATTTCACTGTTGACGAACCAACTTCGCGGCGTCGCCCTGCCTTCACGACACCTTCGATGACTCCGATTCTTCTTGGGTTATGTTCACAAGATATAAGGCTTTCTATCTGGGTTGGTGGTGTCGATCACCTCCACTGTACGCCGCCGCGGAAGCCGCCGGAAATCGCCTCTCCGACGAGCTCTCAAACTTCCGGATTCAATTGCAATTTCTGAATCCTCAACAGTGTCCATCTGACATTTATAGGCAAAGTCTCTGTTTGCAATTTAGTCCCTGAAACTTCAAACGAGTGTAACTTCTTTGTTTCAACTCGGATTCACGAACCGTTTGCGCCTACGCGTTCGTGAGATCAATCTTGATTTTCCAATTCAAAAATCATAATTTTCTCACTTCAATTTCTTGTACTTGCTTTGAAAAATCATAAACTTAATCATAAGGGTATTTTGTCCAAATTTGCAATTAAACTCACTTAATTCCAATCTTTCCACACCAAACCAAAATCATACAACATCCAAAATAGTCACACGACTTAATAATATTTTCCACAAAAATAATAAAACCAAATATTATTTTTGAGGGTATTACAGACTCCCTCGTCCTGTACGACGAATGGAGTGTCGGAGGTGAGGGTGGTTTGGATGAAGGACGAATGGAGTGTCGGAGGTGAGGGTGGTTTGGATGAAGGCCGTGAAAGAGACGTCGTCGGCACTGGTATTCCAAGTACTAGTCCTTTTGTCTTTATAGACGAGACTGATAGTTGGAGAGGCCGGTATTTCGGCGGGGTTTTCGTATTCTTTTATGGCCATGACCTTGCCGATCTGGCGGTTATAGATCCTGGCATCGGCGAGGCGGAAATTGAGATCAGAGATGGTCCGGGACATAACAAGCTCTTCGACTGCCAGGAGCGCATCTGGCCCTGGGGTAATTGTATTTGGAGGATCGGCAGTCAGACAGACTACATCGTTGTTCTTGCCCACGGTCAACCTCTTGCAGAAATTGTTATTGCCCAGGTTGCGGAGAGCTACAACAACATTGACGTCGTTGACGTCGCCTCGGTTGGTTTCTACCTTGACTGGCCAAAACAACGTGTTTGAGTCTCGGTTGGTGGTGTCGTCTGAGTCAGCCCAAATCCAGTTGTTGCTAATTTTATCATCTCGGCTACTGTTACGCCTCCAGAACTTTTTAGTGAAGGTGGACATTATTCGAACGCTTCCATCACCGGCGGTAAACACCTTGTTCTCCTTCTCTTGTTTAGTAGGATTAGTGGCTGAGAACTGCAGATATGGGTGTGTATCAATGATTTGGACGCGGAGGTAGTTACCAATGCCATTGACGTTGACTTTGAAGGCAAGATGCTTGGGAAAAATCACCAGCGCGTTCCGGTCGATGACTGTGAAGACATCAAAGTTTTGGCTTATAAAGAGGCATTCGTTTGTAGGGGATATCTTTAAATAATCACGGGAGTGCACGTGGACCAATCGGATTTGGGAGAAGTTGGTGTCGTTTATGATGATGGGCTCGAACTCGAAGAGCGTACATGACCAACGGGTTGGTTCTGCCTCTTGCTCGTCAGCCCCGGCTACAATCCACCTACTGTTTTGGTCTGCCCTCCTCCAGTATTTGTTGTTGTAGCAGGATCTTATATGCACCCGATGGCCGGCCTCCACTTCGACTTGGAACTTTGCGTATGGGCTCAGAACCTCCTCTCCGGAGAATTGGAGGATCCCATGCACCCCCTCGATGTCTTGGTGTATGTAGCGTAAGTATCTGTTGTTCGTCTCTGATTTAAGCGCAAGAAATGGTTGTGGCAGTTGTAATGCCATTTCTGATGATCTCTCGCTCGCTCTTCAATATGAATATGATTAAAAAAAAATTATTAACTCACTTGTCTGTTTCTTTCTCTCTCGTTGTTTATTGCTTTCCCTAGCTCCAAACCGCTGTGCTATTTATAATCAAGCAAACCCAAACCATGCACATGCATGCAGCTTTCGCTTCTTGTTCTTGCTGTACGTATCCATAGTTGGGTTAGCTCGCGAAAGCGAAACAGAGAAAATTGAAGCCAGCAAAAAAAGTCAAGCCAGGTGGCAGTTTTGAAAGGTCCAAGTAATAATATTCTTCAAATAAAACAATAGATTATTATAAATAAACCCAATTCTAAACATGTATTTATAAAAAAACCTACACACTATTTAAACATAGAAACACACCCAAAATCAACAATTGTATATTTTTTGGGTGTGTTTATAAATGGGTTTTGAGTGTGTGTAATGATGAGTTTTGGGTGTGTTTATAAAGTGTTTTGGGTGTTGGATTTTTTTATAATTTCAGCCCCCATTTTGGGTGTTTTAGTGAAACCCCCATAAAACAAACTAAAGCGTGCTTCACGTTTTCAAATAAAACAAAGGTTGATTTCTTCTTTGTTGTTTCGGTGCTCAATATGAACTTGATTTTGTAATTTCTAATGCTTGTACTTATGGGCCATAGCCATTTATCAATTATAATTATGTCGTTAATTAGGATTGAACAACAAAGTTGTTGAGATGTTTACATACTTTAATTACAGACGTATGATTGATAGGTTTAATTAGAGATGTATGATAAATTTAGGAGAGTGATACGTAATTTCAATTGTTCCTTTCACACATACACAGTTTCATTTATTTTTAAGTTGAGAAAACCCTTTCTCTTAAGCAAAATCTATTGGTTTTACGTAAGTTTAGGACAGTTGCAGACGATTGTTTTTAATTTAGACCCTACAAACAAATAAATCAAAGAAAAAAATGTAAAAGAAGAAGAGAATATAAATTCATATATCTCAATTTCTTGTGTGAAGCTTTTAAATTAATTTCAAATTAATATTAAATTTTATTTGTTTTGGTTTTCAATAAGATTAAGTTGGATTAGCCAATGTGATTGATTAGCCTTGAGCATCATCACTGATCTGATGGCATCAGAAAAGTCTTTGAATTAGCCAATGTGATTGATTGATTGGAACGTATCTTTATTACAAAACAAAAACCATGTCCATGCGATTGATTGAAACGTGATTAGTAATATAAGGAAAATGCTAGAGGCACCAACTTTGTGTTGGTTTTAAAACATTTTTAAGAAGTTCATTTGAATATTAAACATGCATTTAATCAAATTAATCGCAGCGGAAGAATATGGTGGTTGTTTAAATTCAAAAACAAAACTTCTTCCAAGTATCTTAAGCCATGAACATTGATATGTTTTTCATAAATGAAAATTCAAGAGAAAGGATAAGATCTAATTACCCTTGAAGCAATTATATGAACCAAGTTGTGTTTTGGTCTTCTCTTGATGGTTTTCCTTTGTTGATCTCCTCTTGATCTTTCTCCTCCTTGTGAGCCACAAAAGTATATGGCCTCTAAGTCTCCACACCAATGAAACCTTGAGATGAGAAGAGGTATCTTGAGAATACAAGGATGCTAGTACAAGATTCTCAAGATTGGTTTCAATCTAAACCCCTTTGAAAGAAGATTGTGTTTCACTCTTGAAAAACTCACAACTATCTCTCTTTGATCTCCCAAACCTCTTTGGTTGATGTTGGATTGTGTTTGTGTGTCAAATGAGCTTATGGAAACAATTCCCATACACATGCACTTAACCATTTTCGGCCAAACCCCATTGGGCTTCCAAAATTGGGCCTTATGACACTTAAACCATAATATTTAGGTGTCTTAAGCCCTTGGGCTTGATACCCAACCATTTGGGCTTCCCTCTAACTATTATCGAGGCCCAAATATATTTTTACACGTAGTAAATCATCCATATCAAATCAATCAAATTGATTTCCTCATTCTCATTTGTATTACTCGAAGTTAACCATTTAAGGTGTGCGATCCATTAGGTTCTAATTTAGCAAGGCAGTGGGAAAACATTAGAACTCTTTCTAACCAACTGGAATTAAAACCCCTTTTTAATTCTTCCTTTATTTGGATCGATCACAATCAATCCTAGTACTTCCACAAGCCAAGAGTGACATCTAGCAATATATCATGGCTACCCAAGCTAATTATAATAGATGAAGAACCTATTCAGTTGGAATTGCAATGCAATACGGTCCTTCTCTTATACAATGTTTCCAATCATATTGTTAGGGTACGGATTGATAATGTCAAACCCCTAATATGATTAACCTCATATGATTCAATAGAACATAATTAAAACACTTTTTAAATCATGTTCAAGTACTTCGGCCGAAGATTCACTGAATCATATCTTGAAACATTCTCCTTTCTTTATCAAGGTAGAGATTCCTTATTGTACATTCACATGCCTCCATGATGAATTAAGAGATCCCAATAACAGATAAGGAAAATCTTTTACGACTTGCCTTTGTGAGCTATCAAAGATCAATAACGCATCACAAGACAACCATGATGCCTCAGGTCTAAGGACTAATTTGCATTATTGCAACTATGAGTTCTCGTTTGACATATAGATAAATACTCCATACGAGAACTCCGGTTGATCGCGTTCAGTGTACTCATTCACTAATGAGCACCCACATACTTGTATTAGTGTCAACTACACAAATGGTTTGAGACCAACCATCCTCATCATTGAGCATACATAGTATGTGCCAATCTTGACGGTTTATCAATGCCCATTTGATAACCTTATGATTAGGAACATTTTGGGATACTACAGTTAGAGATTAAAGGTCTCCCGAATCTAAACTTCTTTAGATTACTTTATCTCTTATTTAGTACACCCTGGACTTTTATTTCTTTACACGACATAAAAGATAACAAAATAATATTGCCCTTTATTTATCATATACGAAATGTATTCTAAGGAGATTACATCAAATGTATTGGCTCTTAGGGCACATTTCTAACACTTTGGACACCTTTTATTTCTTATTTGATTTGATTTGATTCCTTGGGCATACCATACCATAGCAACAATCTAGCATCGGCCTTCAGCTACTAACCATGCAATAGCTACTATGAGAAATCCGTCAGTTTCTAACTACCTCTCTCTCTCTCTCTCTCTCTCTCTATCTCTCTCTCACAGTACCGACTGATGTCTCCGATTCCCATTAACTATACTTCTTAACAACTTTATTATAGAATAACAGCATTACAAATTCATATTTATTGTTCTCAAAATCATAATGCTCAGTGACACACATACCTGTTTCTTAATTTTGTCCTCCATGTGATATTACATATTAGTTGTTTCTTTGAGCTTCCTTACTAGGTTGCTGTATGCTGTAATTCTGTGGCCTCCTCGTTTTTGGGTGAGGTTTTCGGTTTAATGAAATTACCCTCTTTCTCGACCTAGAAATAATAATTTTGCCCTCCAAAACTCGCATGTTTTCAAATATTTTAATAATATAGCCGTGCGGTTATATTTTTTATAAATATATCAGAATATTTAAATAGTATACAATAAAAGCATAACTGAAATTTAATTGGGTTTAACTAGGATTGAATCTCCATGAATAGGATAACGCCCTCAGGAAGGAATGTGGGAAGCCTCTCTAACAGAAGCCATTAAAAATGGGCATGATCAAGTACCTTCTTTGCTTGTTAAGGCGGGGTGTCTCTTACTATTGATGATGTTGGTGATTTTCTCTGTATTACGGTATCAAGGAGGAATTTGGACCTCCTGAAAAGGCTTTTAGCCAATGGCATTAACCCAAATACAAAAAATTATGATCAGCGATCACCGCTTTATGTAGTTGCTTCAGAAGGCTTATATGTGGCGGAGCCACTCCTAGGCCTAGAGTGGCCCTGGCCTCTCAGATTTTTGATCTCTACTATATTATATTATAAATAATTTATAGAACTAGTAATAAACAACTTATAATTTAAGTTAAAATTCCCACTAAAACAAATTAGATATTACTAAATTATAAATATTTAGCTCTAGATATGTAACCATTGAATATTTGGGTTTTTTTATATAATTGCATTTTTTATTTCGACCCCCCAACTTTACAATTCTAGCTCCACCTCTGCCTATATGCGGCGGAGCCACTCCTTATATCCAATGGCAGAATTCCTTCTAGAAGCAGGAGCAAGTGTTCTATCAAAGGACAGGTACAATCTGAATGTTCATCTGGCTTGTCAGATATCTGTTCTTTAAATTTCTTTAAGCTCCTAAATCCAATAGGATCCAATGAAGTTATAGGGGCAATAGACGAGAAGATGAACAGTATTCTGATAATTCTGTTTAGACTAAAGCAAAGGACTCCCTATTAAAAAAATAAATAATTCCAACATGCATTGAAAACAAGTGGGCCTCTGAGTTCCATTGAAAACAAGTGGGCCCAACGAGAGCCGACCTCTGAGTTTCAATTGCCGATGTGTGGATCTTCACGTGTGATTACACGTGAGGGGGAGTGTTGGAATCCCACATCGGGTGGGTGAAAGAAATGAAATGGGTTTAAATAGAATTACCCCACTCTAACTAATATCGAGGCCTTTTGTGGTAAAACCCCACACCTGACGAAATGGGCAGGTGGTAAAGTGGGGACAGTATCGATGTTGTTAGAGTGGGACCCATCGGGCAGATCCAAAAAAATTCAACATGGTATCATAGCCGAGGCCCGTACCAAAAAAAAAGAAAAAAAAGAAAAAAAAAAGAGAGAAAAAAGTTGGAAGGCCAACGAAGCTTGAAAAGAGCCGACCTCTGAGTTCCATTGAAAACAAGTGGGCCCAACGAGAGCCGACCTCTGAGTTTCAATTGCCGATGTGTGGATCTTCACGGGTGATTACACGTGAGGGGGAGTGTTGGAATCCCACATCGGTTGGGTGAAAGAAATGAAATGGGTTTAAATAGAATTACC